ATTTCATCTAATTATTGAAGATTTTACAAATACTGTAAGTATAAGTTAGTTTAATTGTTTTATATAATCAATAATACTACTGTATAGATACCTAATTTTCCGTACTTTAAAATAAATATATATTTATGAAATTATACGTGTTATAGATTTGATAATAAATCGTTTTATAACAAAAAGTATTATAGGTATTATGGGTTAATGCTGCGCATTTGTTCTGGGGGAATGATACAAATACACATCATTACCCCTTACCTAAAATATAATGACAATTTAGAATCATTTCAATCAATTAAAATGTTTGTTTGTTTACAACATCTATATTAATTATTATAATATATATAGACAAAAAATATTAAACACCAAAATATTCATACAATTTTTAAAACTATTTTAAATATTCGAAATGTTTACTTTAAATTATATTTATTATTATAATTTTTCTTTTAGACAAACATTTTGAATAAACATGGGTAGAACATATAAAAGACAAAGTGAACATGCTTCTTAGTTACCTGAAAATTTACATGCTGCCCTACTAGCTATTAAGTCTGGGAAAAAAATTAGAGCCATCAGTAGGACTTTTAATATACCAGAATCAACTCTTCGCCTTAGATTAAAAAATAAAAATATCGGTGGCCCTAAATTGAGTATATATATAATGCATTGATTATTTTATATGAACTATTTTCAATAAGCTAAATAATATATTAAACGTTGGAGGCTATGATCGAAATTCGGATGGAGGAATTTTAGAAGTATTGGCAATTGGTAAGCGCTTGGAAATGGGGAATTTAAACTTACCGACAAATAAGCCTTTACCAGGTCAGGTTGAAGACTCGCCTATGGTTCTAATTGGTGATGAAGCATTTGCTTTAAAACCATACCTATTTAAACCCTTCCCACGCAGACAATCACGTAATAACATCCGACTTGACAATTATAACTATAAACTCTGCAGAGCGAGGCGTGTTGTTGAGAACGCATTTGGAATTTTAACAAAAAAAATGGAGAATTTATAATAGACCAATAGAAGTGAAAGAAGAAACAACAATTAAAATTATTATGGCTACTTGTATTTTACACAATTTTATACGAGTAAAAAACTGCAACATCGATACTACAGAGCCAGATGAAAATGATTCTATAAAAACCTTGGGTGAACTAAGCATAAACAATCAGAGAGGAACAAATGAATCGTTAAGAATACGCGATAATTTCGTAGATTTCTTCAACTCTTGATCATTTTTTTTAATTCATCGTCAATTTTATAATTATTTTCCACTAGTATAAATTACAGTCTTCTATGATATTGAATGGATTATATAAGTAATGTATTCATTTCAATGTATAATTTTAATTATTATAACTATTAATCACTTTATTTTACTTAAATATTTGTAATTTCTTTTAAATATATATTCAAATTATTATTATATTATAAATTAATATACAAATTTACCTTTCTCTCCATACATATTTGGACTAATGATATTATCCCAAATATAATCCTTCTTCCTTGTATGCTAAAATTCTGGATGGGTCATGTCGTACAGTATCGGATTATTTTTGACTATCATTATTAATTTTTCTATATTATCTTTTTTTCGAGAGAGACATGATAATTTATTATGTTTATAATAACTTTCTGTTACTACTTGCTGTAATACACTGTATCGCTGTAAAAGTTAATCACAACACTTATCACAAATCAGTTATGACTAAACACAAGCGTTTTGTTCAATCATTTTGACTTAAAATAAACATTGTTAAATTCAATTTCATTCGAACACAAATTGAATCTAGATATGCGTGACGCACTTTCTCAGAAGTTGAGAAGTGGTATAATAAATACCTTATTATTTTTAACATTTCATTATGTTTTATAAATAATATTTAATGCACCTACAGTACCTTCATTTTAATTATATGGTATCCACTTACTAACATATAAAAACGAATTAATTAGTAGTTGGTTAATTAGTTAATAATCAATAAAAAATAGTAATTTTTAATTTCATATAATAATACATATTTTCATAATCTTGAGTATAATATTAAATAATTTAAAATAATTATTAATAGTAAAAATTTATTTGAAGTACTAATATTGATTTTGGGGAAACATTAATAATGTCAATTGAAAATACCGCTGAGCTTTTGGGACCTTAAAAGTACATGTTTAATTTTGAGAGATTAATCGCTACGTTCGTATCGCCTAGTGTGTAATCCACTTTAGGCCACGGTCACACGAGCGTTTTACTGACGTGCGTTACGACGGACGTCACAACGTCCGTTATTGAATTATGTTGAATTATGTTACGACGGTCACACATTTGACGTCCGTCGGATTTCCCGTCCGTTCGACGTCGACGACGTCCGATACTTGCTACGACGGACGTAAATAGCGATTATCGGACGTTGTAGTTTATTGTTAAATATTATCGACTCGGTCACATGAACGCTGTTTTGACGCACGTTAATCGTGAAAATTGTTCAATTACTTTTTATATTTTATTATTTATTACCTCAAAGTAACTGCCAACATCTCTTCTGCTGGTATCGCAGATCTCATAACTGTATCTTGGCGCATTATATTTGTTTTAATTTTATTAAACAGCTCGTCAAATGTGTTTTGAGACGTGCGAAAATAATTAAAAAAATTTCGCATTGTCAGCTCTCAGCAAGTTATAAAGATTGTAAAATGCACCATTTAATAATCGTTCACTATTTATTGGATGAACCCACCATTTTCGATTCACGCGTTTTTTTTTTTCGTAATACTCGTACAGCAGAGTATACAAAAATCGCGGTATTCAAATCGTCCATTTTATAGAATGCGAAATCAACAACTGACGTTTTATTTTACGTTCGTGTGACTAGGGTAGTGACGTCCGTTATAACTTAACGTCCGTTCTTTCAACGCTCGTGTGACCGTGGCCTTAATGTTTCATCAGTGTTCACCGAAATAAATATATATGCGCCAACAATATCCGACGTATTTTCAGAAAGCATATTTATAAATTATAATTGGTATCAATATTATTATTTATATCGGTATTCGTCAATTGCGCTGAATTTGGGACACTACCTGTATAGTATACATCTATTGCGTCGGTATAACAACTATACAGTACAAGTAAAAATCATAATGGCTAAAAATAAAAATTAAAATTAAAATCAAACTTATCATTCTACATAATTGGTATTTACACTAATAGTATATTATATAGATATTTACACTAATCCTACAAATTTTAAAAAGTTCTTAGGTCTAATATTAAAATTAGTTATGTCTATTTTATTATTTATTTTTGTCATAAATGTAGTTTGGTCTATTTGTGATAACTAAGAGAACACATATTATGATTGTTGCGTTAAATTATTTTTTAAAACTTCATAAAAAACAAAAATATTTGAATGGGTTGAATAAAAATATTTGTGAAATGCCTCACAGGCATTTGTTGTTGTTCGCCTGATATTTTACATGATGACCAAATATACGGAGGAAAAGTTGCATTTTCATCAATATATGTATCATTGAGGTAATCGTAAAATGTAGCTCGAATATCGATCGAATATCAATTAACTTGATTAATATATGACGGTATATACTGTCATATATTAATCAAGTTATAACTATATAGTTTCCATAGGCGTGGCCAGACTTTTACAGCAGATGTTGGTGAAGACTAAGATATTCCTAAAAAAACCTGTCCTAAACCTCTACTTGTCTCGATTTTTACTTTAATGGATTTAATTCTTAGATAGCAGTGGCAATTTAACTTTGTCCGTAGAAGCCCCCCCCCCCCCCCGAAAATATTATCTGTATACGCCACTGACATATATGTAGAAATTTAGAACTGATATTTCGATTATTTCGTGGAACGCGGTTAATCATAAAGTACCTAGAAAAATCGGTCGCATTGCTGGTATCCTGGTACTGGAAAATTTTTCCTCGTCGAAAAACAACTGTTTACGTGTTCTAGGAAAAAAAATATAGCAATTCTGGCGTCAAAGCATCGTGTTTTTCAGTAATATATTAATAATAATAATAATGTATATATATCGAAATTTCGATACATCGCATACCCAATATCGACACCACGATATATTGATCGCTATTTTATTGATATATGTACCTATATATACATGTATTGGAAATTTCAAACATTAGGGTTCAAGGTACAACGGTATACGAAAAAATGTATGATGTAGTGGTGACTTCACTTTAAAGCCAGCCACACACGATCCGGTTTGCCGGAGAGATCGAGTTGCGTATGCGGACTGCACAGTTTCTCCGGAACGTATATGTGACAAGTTCACGTTTTTTTCGGGGACTGTAAGAGCGGCCGGAATGGAAAAACGATTCTTTTGGCATATGCAGTCATAACTTAATACCGGAACGTGTGTGCACGTGTTTCGTGTTAACGTACGACCAGTAAAAATACAATGTATTGTGGACCGGAGAGTGCGTCACTGCGCAGTCTGATCTCGCCGGCAAACCGGACCGTGTATGGCCGGCTTAACACGGAAATCATATGTCGCCTCAATTCAAGACAGCAATAACTCAAAAATATTCAGGATTGAGTTATCTACCGACGATTTCGATTCTATAACGCAATAACTTTTAATTGTATTTATTCGCCTCTAGAGGTCGTTTATTTCATTCTAGAACCAGTAGTTTCATAACTTCAGTTATTGCAGTCTTGAACTGAGGCGTCGATATTATCTATATCTGTGTTAGATCATATACAAGCACAGATATAGATATGATAACTAGATTGCTAACTAGTATAAATTGACAAGCAACCCTGGAGACATCTATTTCGCGCCATGTTGCTTGTGGGCTATGGTATTTTATCAATTTTTATCGTTGTGATAATACCACAGATAAAAACAAAATAAATATTATCAGAACTCATAATTCACAATTCATGAACTCTGATATACTTCAAATTTACAATCATTATTCAATATTCATATTTTATTATTATATTTTATTCACCCATAAAAAAAAAATTGCTACTAAAGTATATTAAAAAAACCAAAAACACGAAAAGAACTAATCTTACTACTATAAACAACATAATACATAGGTAATATTTATCTATTTCTGATGTAAAAAAATTTATGACTACAAGTTGTTAAACAAAATTGAGTTATGTAACTTTTGTCTTTTGTTGACCGAAGCTTTCAGAATAGAAGAATTTAAAATTTTGCTGTAAGAGTGTATACGAATATTTAAATACATACGGCTAACTATGTTAATAATATTTATCTTGTGAGGACATGGATTTATATCAGTGTCTTCAAAACATTTATTGGTTTCTGGAAGTATATTTGTACATAATTCAAGTGAGTTTTGAACCATTATCATTATTCTTTTACCCATATTCTTTATAAATAATTGTCTTTTGTCAATGACTAAACATCTAAAGTATTATTCAGTTAGTTTGACGATCTTGAAAATAGTTTCAGATGCTAGTTGAAGACCTCCTCGATTTTTTACATTTAACAAGTTATTATATACTTTATTATTTTTTTGACAGTAATCATGGTCATTTGTGTTATTTGATACATTAAATAATGCCTTTATATCATTTGGACATTGCAAAACCGGGATAATTTTTTTGACTATGTAACCAAAAATATAGTATAATACATTGTTAGTAATAATTTTGATAAATGGATCATTGCTACTAATGTTTGCAAGTAATTTAATGGTTGATTCTTCTTCATCATCTTGTTTCATATATGGTCTTTTATATTTCCATTTAATGGAAAAAAGAGAATCTTCGTAAGTAAATAAATTACAATTCCCATTCCTTAGAGTAATTGAAGTATGTAATAAAATATTTTTATGATATTAGTAAATTGTAAGCAATTTGTGTTGTTATTGGATCCAGATCGACCTTGCATATGTCCAAAGAATAATTCAATTGCATCTTGGCTGAGCTTATAAGTTAAGACATACTTGAATCCATGATTGACCAGTAGATCTTTTGCTATATTTATGATTGATTTTATTGATGTGGCAAGTCAATGGTAAATATTTTTCTTTGACTTATCCACAGAGGCACTCCATCTACAGCTTTAAGTGAGTATAAATACTGTTCATTCTTTTTTCTTTAAATTCTATATTATCTATATGAATAGGTTGTTTGAAACCTTTACCAAAAGGAGTTCTTGAATTTAAGAAGTCAAAAATGTCATTAATATTTCTAATAAACTGAATTGTTGGTTCACAATTTTTAAAGCCATTTGATGTTTGTTTTAGAAACTGAAGAGTATCTGCCACTAAACTACTCAGGGTTTGAACTGCAAGTTTAACTTTCATACTGTTGTCCTTCCAGTTAATGTGTACTCATAGACGTAACTAGGAGGGGATTGGGGGGGCTTAGCTCACCTAAATATTTCTGTAGCCCTCCTAGATGAAAAATATTGAACCACAGAATTTTGTGATAAAATCTAATCATCTATATCTATAATCTTATTATCTAAATTAAATAATTATCAAGTTTGAAAATCCTTGTTATTCAGTGTAATTATAGTCAGTGGACAACAGTGGGTTTTTCCACATGTTTTGTGTTTTCGACCACGTTTTTATTATCTATGTTATGTACTAAATAACTCGAGCGTCTCGAACTATCAGTCAATATTTGTGTCCGTCATATTTTATTTGTTGAAAAGATAAAACTTGAATTTATATATTTTGTAGTTTTACATGGTACCCGACGGTCGACGACCGTATTGTATTGTATTACTTTTATCTTATTATTCTGATTATAGTGATTATTATTAAACGGTATTCGTATTTCGTGGACCGTGGCTTGTGTATTGTGTTAGTGGGTTTATGTACTAGAGTTAAATAGTAACATTTGTTTATACCTATCTTTTATTCAAATGTGAAATGTCATTATTTTAACGCTTATTATTAATAAATTTTATTTTTTGTTATACAATTTATTGAATATGGAAAAACGTGACATTTTTAATATTTTCAAATTCAATAAGTCTAACACTCAGCTAAGTACACTAGATAATTATCAAAATAATATAAATAATCTTACAACTTTATGTGCTTCTAATGACAATATTTTAATTTCGGTGACTGCAGATAGTTTAAATGCTAATATTCACATGAATGTATCTAATTCAGGAGACTCATTTAATTGTGATCTATGTGATTTAGTATCTGGACCTAATAGACCAATAATAAAGGTTAATACAAAATTACATTTGGTACTTAGTACATAACATTAGGTAAGTACAATTGCTAGTAACTATTAACTTATGAATTATAACAGTGCTGCGATAATTATGAATGACTATATTTCATAGGTGTATTGTAAATTAATAAGCCTTATTATTGCTTTTGCTTTGCTTAGGAATACCCAAAATCAAAATTTGGTTCTCAAAATCGCGCATTTTCATCTTATTATGCTAATTTTGAGTGGTTAGAGTATAGTGTTAAGAAAAATGCTGTATTTTGTTATGATTGTCGCATATTTGCTAAAAATTTTGGGTATACTGTTGATACATTTATCAAAACTGGGTTCAATAATTGGAAAAAAGCAAGTTCTTCTAATTACTATTCATATATTACTCAGTTATTATGTGACATACATTACAGTTGTTTTATTTTTTTAAATTGAAACAATTTATAGTTATCTTCAAAACTTATGTCTCATACTGGTACTAAAATACATATTCTTAGCACTACAAGATTTTCAAGACCTTTAAAAAATTCTAAGTTATATGATATACAATCTAAATTAGGTTTAAAAAAAGGTAATATGTTAAGGGTGTGTGATACTAGATGGGGTTGCAGGTACAAAAATTGCGAGACTATGTTGAACAATTTTAATGCAATTGTTGAATATCTTGAAAATGAAATTATTGAACAATCTGATAAAGATATTGCTCAAGCTATTGGTAATTAACGAATAAAATAATAACTAATAACCACAATTCAATTTAGTAATTATAAACTATTTTTCATTTTTCAGACTTATTAAGTTCTATACAGAAATGTGAATTCATTATATTTCTTATTATTCTTAAAGATTTATTGAGTATAATGATTATATTAAGTAATAATTAACAAAGTAAAACGACAACACTTAGTAAATCTAAAAATATTATTGAGTCTATTATAAAAATATTTGAAAAATCAAGAACAGATGAGGAATTTCATAATGTTTGGAAAAAAATAGTTAAATTTGCTGATGAAAATAATATAAATTTACAAATTCCAACTATGGGTAATTATATTTTTTTATGAAGTAATGTTTATTTTAAAAGAAAATTCTTCATTTAATTTGCACCCTAATATTTTAAAAGTACTGCTATTTGCATAAGCTCCATCACAAATTACTCTCAATACATTTATTTTATATTTTTGGCATTCAGTTATAGCAATTTTTACAAGCTGCAGCTTTAATTTTGTCTACTAACCAATAACTGATCGGCTATTTCCACTTTCTTTTTAAACTTGATAGCATAAAAACTAAAACTTCTAAGCTGGTGTTTCACATTCTTCAATACTTAAATTGTTACCATAATCACAATAACCAATAAACCTATCAAATTAATTTTGATTAAATTATATTTATTTAAAAATATGAATTGTAGCCAAACTAAATCTTATTTTGCATATTTATTTTGATGAAAATGATTTAAATAATTATTAATTATTTTTGATTTATAATAGCATTTATTTTATTTTTAAACAAAAGCTGTACTAAATATGCCATGAATAGATTTTAGTTTGTTCTAAAAATTTATGGGGAATAAGTACTTATGGTTTGCTCTATCCCACTGAATTTTATTTTTTATACTCATTGAATCAAGAATAAAACAGCAATACTTGTTCTCATCACTAAATCTACCAATTTCTGTTAATACATCAGACAAAAATCCTGCACTTTCATTTAATTTTGATAACCAGTTTCTTATGAAGTTCGGGTTAGGTAAACTTAAAACAGTTCTTTGTTGTTTACAATATAGAAATAATTAGTATACACATGTTAAAATAAAAAATAAAATAAAACCATAAAAATACATTCTGGACATAATTATACGCTTAAGGAAAGTAAAAGAATAATGCAGTGGCAGATTGTTTAGTTTCCTCACAATAACGTCTTCCTTTAAGGACAACTTTTCCATTATTTATTAAATTTTATAAAAATGCATTTGTAACATTTTTCTTCATAATATTAGCTGTATCTATATCACTTGTAATTTTAATTTTTGACTTCAGTTTCTAGTTTAACAATAATTTAATGTCATAGTTATATAATAACAATAAGTACCTATATAATAAATTAAGTGTTAACTATATTGATGCTCCTTTGCTCATTATTTTATGTAGATACCTATTATCTTGTCAATACTTTACTGTACCTACTATATTTGGACTTATGTCCGTAAAATAAATAATATATTATATTGATAATAAGATCACTATAACAGTAAGTCAGATATAACTATTTAATATTTACATACACTTTTATATGAAAGTATTAATTAAAAATGTAACTAGTTTAAAATAATATTTTGTTTATGTATGAAGATACCTGTATATTAGTAATTTGTATGTTCTGCCTTCTAACTGTCTGTTACAATCTTTTAACTTTTTTCTTAAACCAAATTTAATTGGAGTTTATTTAACTATTTTCCTTTTTTTTTTCATTTAGTTCCACAAGAAGTTGTTTGTGGACTACAATCTATTAAAAATTTATCATTAGATTTAAAAAGCTCCCTTTTAGAGTTTCTTGTTAGAGAAATCGATGGTAAAACATTACAATTTATTGTATAGTCTAGTGGCTCTAGGACTGGAATAAAATAATATTTAATATTGTTCGAGGAATTATGTTAGTGCTAATTTTCAGTCATTATAATTATTATCACTTTCAAACTTGGGTTTACTGAATTGGCATTAAGAATTTTCAAGTTGAACCGTGCCTACATTCAATTTTTCTTGGCCAATAAATAAAGTAGGGACTGCTGTTTTTTTAAGCCGTTTAATATCTGGCCGTTCTATAAAATCATTTTCGGTAAAATGAATATTACATATCCTGTGACATGTTGGGATAAAATTATGCCTTTTTATGGCAGCTATCTACTTTTCTTTAAGAATGCTATTTCTAGGAAATCTATACAAAAATGATTTTATAAAATAATTGTTAAGCTGTAAAATTGAATGTTTATATGTCCAGGTTAAAAACTACTGATACATACTTGAAAAAAACTACTTTATCGCGACCAGAACAATTAGCACATCCAAGGACACAGCAAGTTTGTGGCATTTTAAAATAAAATTTTATTTTATTCAATTAAAAAATTAAACAAAGTGATAATAAGTAACTTCTAGTTTTTTTTCCATGCAAAAGTTAAAATACCATTAAATTTTAATTGCATGTGCTCATTTGTTGATTGTTGTTATTAAGATTTAAGGGTATTGGATATAATTTATTTTTAGACAGATATTGATGATAGTTTTAGTTTATATCTGTGTTTTTAGATCATATTTACACCATATTTGTTTTTTTTTTTTTTTTGGTACAAGTTACTTTCTAATATTGTTTATTATTAATTAATAACTGTAAATAATTTTCATTTATAATTATAAAATAAACTTATTTTTTATACAAGCATATTTAAATTTCATTTTAATTAATATTTATTATTTAATTTATTTTGCACTATTGGTAATATCGTCGCCTCAATTGAAGACTTCAATAACTCAAAAAAAACTATTATTGAGATATCAATGCTTTAGTTCAAAACAGCAATAACTCAAAAATATTTAGAATTGAGTTATCTACATGATATTATTTGCAAAGTTACGACGATTTCGATTCTATAACGCAATAACTTTTATTTGCATTATTCGCTTCTAGAAGTCGTTTATTTCATTCTATAACTAGTAGTTTCATGATTTGAGTTATTGCAGTCTTGAATTGATGCGTCTATATGTATGATTTGATTTGAAATACCCGCCAAATGATAAATATAATTGGTATCACATTAAACATGTTATAATAACACTACAGAGCCCACAACCACAGATATATAAATAATAAATATATATAATACATATCTGTGCCACAACCAATATGTCCTTTTTTGGCGTACTTAATACGATAAGATATTTTCAATTTGGCACGAATATAATATACAGAGAGCGGCATAAGTCGGTTCCCGCCACAGACTTCTATACTAGTAGTAGTATAGAAGTCTGTGGTTCCCGCTGTCTTGTTATCGAAAAAATTGTTTATTATTTATTATTATTGATAGTAATTAATGTATTATTATAATTATAATCAGTTATATAATAATTATTGCGATAATCACTTATCGGCAGCCTAATGGCGCAGGTATTTTCGGTTAAACTAATTGACCTTAAGAAAGATGTGTGTGTTGTACGGATGTGTGGTGTGTGTCATTTACTCAATTTTATTCATTTAAACGCTATTAACATGGAAGTCGACAACAGTAAATTCACAAAAGAAGAGCGAATTTTTTTACTCGTTTCGTATCCGAATCGACTAGTACCTTCTCGTCGTAATGTGTCAAAAATATACAATAAGTTTCTTCGAGCGGGTTCTGTAGTAGACGCATAGATATACGCGTAATATTGAGCAGACGCACCGCGCTCCGGTTGACCAGTTACAGTCACAACACCTGAAAACATGGAGATGGTGGTGCTATCTCTGGTCGAAGATGGCAATTAGTCTGTCTGGCGACTATCGATGCAATTAATCAATAATAACTAATAAATCTATATACAATATACATATTTTATTTGTTACAATTTCTTTGTTATGTGAATTGAGGAACAATCTTTTGCTACAATCTGTACAACAAAAAAAAATTCTACTTATATCGTCTTTGACAATGCTAACATAGCTCTTTCTCTCTCGCACACGAATCTCTCTCTACGCGTGGTCCATTCTTTTATATGTCTATGGTTGACGTCCGACACTCTCACGCATAAACAAGTATACTTATAATAAGTATACTATAGCTCTCACGATCGTCCGTTTTACTTGCGTTGTTGGCGCATCTTGAACGCAATCGATTGTCATTCGCGCCGCTGTTTGGTCGCCGAAGTACCTGGCCACCGTTAAAGAATACAATACCGGAAGCACTAACGTTTGTGATTGCCATTCAAGGCCGTCAGTCGTCGGAACATTGTTTTTTGGTTATAGCGCCATCGATTATTTGTAAGTATTCCTATATGATTAATCACTTGTCTTAGTTGTGACTAACACTTCTGCTTCTAGCCAACTTAAGACATTGTTAAACTACGGTACAATAATTGTTTACCATGAAATTCTGTTCAAGATTGTACTATAATTAACTGCAATGTTCATTGCTTACTGTGCTTCCAGCCTACTTTAGATAATAAATGACAATACATCGTTAGTAATCTAATTTAATAATTACATTTTTGAAATAATAACTTGCGTACTTCTAAATACGGAAAATAAACGAATTAACAGCCGAACGAAAATTAATTCGTTTATTTCTATTATCTAATTTTTGACTATTTTTTTCTAAATTCTCTAAAATTAAGTAAAAAAAGTACCGCTTAAAAATATCACCTCCGAAATGTGGGTGTATGGACGTGAGATAAGATACTGTTACGGACATACATAAATATAGGTCCTTGCGATTACCAATACATAAGGGTCCACATAAATAGCATTGGGGCTTACATTATAATATACATTATTACATACGCAAATACAAATTACACTATATGTGGAAACACCATGATATCTATAATATATGTCCTTGTGAATATCCAAATCTTACAGAGGAATCACATACAAATAACTGGCATTGTTGCAAAAACCGAAACAACATCAGGATATGCTTTTAAAAAGTCATAAAATTGGCATCGTTTGCAATGATCGAAACAATATCAAAAACATGCCTTTGTAAGGTATTATAAAATTGGATAGTAGATACTTTTCGAAGGGGGTCTAGAATATTAATATCAAACTATGTCCGGGTCAAATATCCCATAAGAACGGAGTATACAAGGTTAGGTCCCGAACAGACTATTATTTAGATGTGTTTTAGTCCGGCTCTGGCAAGCACCTCCACGCCAGATTAAATTGTCAAATTAACTAAATAACTTGTACCTAGAACTATTTCAATAAACAGTTAAATTTAGCTCGAGTATTTTATTGGAATATTTAATAAGCTTTTGATTTTTCACTTAATTTATAGTACTACCTTAGATAATTTGAAATGTAAATTGTACTACTACCAAAAATTGGTGCGTCGCGGGACGTACCGCAAAAGTGAGAACTATATTTTCAGGTTAGATATGATGGCATGATATGAAAAATGTAATTGATGATAAAATTGTATCAATGTTAAGTCATTATTTTATTATAAATGCAAAATATTATAATATAACAATCAAATATACATATGTCATTTTAATATTAATTATTTTCTACTAATACAATGGTAACACTTTCAATAACTCATGCAGGTTCTACATTAACTTTTAATTTATAAATTATCATAGTATTCAATCACGTATAAAGTTCTCACTTTAAAAGTTTCTTACATAAAATAAAATTTAAAGCGGTGTCTGGCGATACGTAGTTATCCGCGTCGTATATTTTATATAATATTATCCGCGATATTACGCGCCGTGTATACACAGAGTTGTATAAAATGAGACAAAAAAGAATCTGCTTAGTTGCTTGTGCGCGCACAGATGCTAAAGAGAGAAGAGTCGCAGCTGTTAAGCGCGCGCCCCGCACCTTGCCTCGTCATCGGACGGACACGGACGTTCAACGAAATGGGTCCCCACCAAGAGCGCACAATAAAGTTCTCACTTTAATAAAGCAATATACTGCTACAGTCTTAGATTGGTAGTGGTATTCACTCAATCTTCAAGCTTTTTTCAAATTTGTCTTTGTTTCTATTAAGTTTTTTTATGCAATTTCTTATTTTAATTATATGTACAGCTGTGTATTTAAATTATTATGTTGATTAGTAAGTCAATTTGTCTTGAAGTATTGAAATACATCATTAATTGCAAAAATATATTATTATTTAGTGATGATTTAGATAAAGTGGTATCAAAGAACAACATCAATTCCTGTTTGACAATTGATTCGCAGAAATTAATCATGGAAATCTCAGTACTTGTACCCTCCAGTAGTTTGACACCCAAAGTAGCTAAGACCAGATCAATTAGAAATGGATCGGTGTCAAAAAGCAAAAAACAAATAAAATCTTATTTGATTCTTAAAGGTATGTTTTTCCTTAACTTAAAATATTTTTATGATAATACAAGATTATATTTAAAATAAAGACACTAGTTAACAGACAAGCCAACTTGTCTAAGTTTCTGATTTAGGTCTTGATGATAATTTTCCCTAGTTTATAGCATTCTTATTTTGAAAACAGTTGATGAGACAAATTCTTGTTGACATATTTAACCTTAGATAATTACATAATATTTTAGTATACCGATATATATTTTTAAAATTTTAATAATTTTAATACAAATATATCTGGAAGTTAAGAAATCTATATTTAATATATATAATTTATATAATATTTTAATTTTATATTAAATAAATGTTTTTTATATTTGTAATTTTATTTATCTATTTTTTTTTTTTTTTTTTACTTATAATATTTATATGTATCAATATAATTATAATTATTTTTAGGAGCTGTCATATTTATTGATTATAAAAGTAACCATGATCCAAGCTGTATAAACATTCAAGAAACTATCATTGAACTAGGTGCCAAAATTGCAAAAACATTTAGTCATAAAGTAACTAATTGTTTATTTTTTTAATAATTAAAATTTTAATTTAACTTTTGTTAAAGGTAACACATGTAATATTTTATGAGGGTCGTCGAAACACTTATGAAACAGCGAAAAAACGTAAAATTCCATTGGTGTCCATCGGTTGGATTTTAAATTCTATAACGGCAAAAAAAAAAATGAACCCTGCTGACTATCCGTCTGAAGATTTAGTTAAATATGATGATCCACTATATGTTCCAGTAAGTAACTTTTAAGTATTTAATTTATATTTTTAACTAATCAAATCTTAAATTTTGTATATTTTGAAACAAATTAAATTTTTTTTAATCTTTAAAATTAGTCATTAATTAAATTTATTTAACCCTTAGAAAAACGAATGCAGGTATGAAAATTTTCGAAGACACAATCAAATCCTAGAAGATATGAGTAAAAGTTTTGAGCAAACACCTCTTTGTAGTCAATCATCTAAAACACTAAACTCTATTTTAGATATTTTTATGGTAAGTGACTTCAAATCCTATTTCAAATTATTTGTATTGATAATTAACTAATTGTATACAACTTTTTTAAAATTTAGTTTTTAAACTCCTGAGAATCAAGTGGTTTTTCTGTTAAAGTTTTGTATTGATAATTTGGTAATTTTATGTTTTGTAAGCTTTACATCTAGTTCTTGGAAAGTAGTGTATAAATATTGTGCGAATAAAAATAAAATTGATAAGTAAGTTTAAGTAATTGTTACTGTTTATCAATTTTCAACTGTTGCTAAAAAAAATTAATTATTTTTATTTCAACTCTTTAATAGTGAAATTAAACGTTAATTATAGTTTTTTTTTCTGTTAAATAGAGGTTTTATAAGTTGAAAAGTATTCTTCAAAAAGTAGTGATTAATCACTAATTTATTTATCATTTAAATTTTAATGCAAAAATAATTAAATGGTATGTCTTTTTGTCCAGAAGTTAATGTATCAATGATAAAAATGTATATTAAAATTAGAAAATAGAAAAAGTATAAAAGTGTGTTGATTGTAATATGGAATATTATTATAAAATAGTAATATAAAAAATCTGAACATATTTTATATTTATTATTATACTGTTATATTAATTGGTTTACTATATAATTTAAATTTTAGTATGAAAATGTGGCTACTTTAAATTCAACTTACTTAATATAATGCTAATTAATCTAATTACTATTTATTACCAAAACTGTTTTATGTTGTTGATACATTTTAAAAATATTTCAGAAGGAAAAAAGTATTCAAACTAATACATTACAACGTGATACTCATTTATCTTCAAATCATTACCAAAATAATGATACAGTTACCACTCAAACTCTAGAGAAAGAAATCATTGAAAGCTTATTATCTAGAGATTTTTCTATGATACCAGAAACAACAGATCATAAATGTAGCCCAGCTGTAGCTTTTACTGGATTCACATATATGTAAAATTTATTTTTATAACATTTTATACATCTCATTTTACTAATAATTTTATTTTCAACAGTCAAAACAAGTATTTCCATATGTTAATGATAAAATTGGGAATATGTTCTTTTCATAATAAAGTGCAGAGCAATACTACATATTTAGTAATTCCATCAATTGAACCAGAATTGCTAGATTATACATTAAACATTGAATTTGCAATGGCTCTTGGATGTTACATAGTGTTTGATAAATGGGTATGTCTCTTGGGCAATAAGTAAACAATAATAATTTTATTAATTATTTTACGAAATATACTTAAGCGTATATGTTCAACCCATCGGTGATATTTATTTAAAAAATAATTATTTTATTATTTTAATTAAGACCATATACAAAATATATATTTATGTAAATAAAACTGAATTTTGTTAATTTTAATGACAATTATTGGATTTAAATTTTAATATCCAAATAAATTCATAGTTTAAATATTTACTGAAGAATTACATTGACTTTAATCTTAAATCGTGCTAAAATAATTTGAGATATGTGGCTTAGTTACCATTTACTTGCATTAAAGAGACTTAATTGTTATTATTACTACTTGGCTGTAATTATTGAAGTATTATAAATAAAAGTAATTATCCATTTATTTTATAGATAGAAGATTCAGATAAAGCCGGTAAATTGCTTCCACATCATAATTATTTGATAGATCTTACTGATTCTGTAAAGGTAAGCTCATATTCGTATTTTATTAATTTCCTATTTTCAAAGAGTTTTAAAAAATTATTTATTTCAAGGATTTTCAAGTAAAACGAAATGCTGTGTCGGAGTTAAAATCAAAATTTAAAATATTTCATAATGTTGGTAGCATTTATGTATCTAAGGCTTGTAAACATTCTACTTATGACTTGAAGCGATTAATACGTGCCTGTGGAGGAAATTGCATAAAAATTAAGGACAAAGCCAACATTGTGATCGGTGAATTTTACACAAAGAAGTATATTTGTGAAACATGGATTTTGGAATGCGTAAAACAGGGGAAATTGCTACCAATGGACAAAAATTCAATTATTCTTGATGTGTAATTTTTTGATCTAAATTTAAAGATAAATTTTAAATTATAATTTCTAATTTATTATTGATAAGCTTAATTATAATTTAATTATTGTTCACATAAATTTGTCAGATATATTGTTCGAATTTTTTTCTTTGGTATATATTGTTTAAAAATAAGTTTTTTATTTTATGGCATATGATTGTTGGTATTAATATGATGTTTAATATTTTATTTATCAATAAATACAAATAAATCTTTGTGCTGATAACTTAAAAAAGTATTACAGTTCTCATTTAAAATCTATATAAATTATTGTTTTTGCGAAATATGAATCACTTTTAACATAGGTACATATGGCATCTAACATAGACACAACAGTGATTTCTGCAAAAAGCTCTGCCATATTTTTAGCTCCAGACCTTCACATTATATGTATTGAGAAATCTAATATCATAATAAGTCTAAAATAATATATTAAGTAATATACAGTATCAACGGTGTTAATGTCTCTAGAGAGTATTCATAATTTTAATTGTACCGTGGTACCAACTTTGGTACAACACAGCTATTAACTTAGGTACCTTTTTATTTCATATTCTTCAGTACACTTAATATATATGCTTTAATCAGTTATAAGTGTATAATTGTACACATTTCACTGAAAAAAAAACTTAGCTTCCATAACTAGGTGGCGGAAAATTATTTGTTTTTAGTATTTCCTGAAGATTTTATATATTTTTTTTTTAGTTTAAATTTTATAGTTAAAAGGTAAGGCTAATAGCAAATAAATAAACTTATAAACTGTACCAGTAAATATAGGTATTTACCTACATGCAAAATATACTCTATATTAGACAGTTAAGTGCACAGTTTGTGTAGATTGTGCTTCTAATTTAAAATAAAATTACGAACTTAAGCGTTTGATTTATCTTAAATTTATATAAAATAATTATTAAAATATAATTTCGAAACTTTTCAAGATCACGTTATTACGGAAAAGAAAAATGATTAAATAGGTAATTAAAACTATTCAAGGTTTAAAAACAACAAAATCCAAAATAATTACAAATTTAAATAAACGTGGAGATCAAATTGGAAAAAATGGATTAAAAATTTCTACCATTGATTTAATTATAAATACTAGATTATATAATTTATTGTTGTAATAGAAGCTCTTTATCAAGAGGTAGCGATTTTTTCATATCTATTTATAATAGAATCTGCTCAAAATTCATAATATTTCAAAACAGTAATTATTAGAAATAGGATGCTGATGGTTAGAACACTACAAATACTACAAAAATATTTTTTCAAATATATGTATCACATAAGTTCTCTAGAAATGTTTGAAAAAATGAATAATAAAATCTGAATTTAATAATTACACTGGAATCTAAAACAAAATTTCATACATGGGTTAAGTAGGATATTATTTTCTCCCATAACATTTAGTTGTTCTAATAGTTTATTTAAGTATATGTTTGTACAATTCAGGTAATAAACACTGTATGCCCTATGATAAGCAAATATTCAGAACATTTTATAAAAAATATCACAATAATATTGTTAAAAATAAATAAATATAAATAAATGGTATTAAGTATTAACATACATAATTGTTAAACATTGAAAAAAATAAAACTCAGAATTATTAATTAAAAATATATATATATATATATATATATATATTATTAATCAACTAATAATAAATCAAATTAGGTAGTGATAATATAGCTACTGATTATCAAAAATAAGAATATGGCGTATAAAAAAAAAAATTAAAAATTAAAATTTAAAAATATAAAGATTAATATCATGTACACGGATTTTATTATTATCAATACGCTATTACTAAACAACTTAAAATATTATTAAATGAATTGTTCTGGTTCTGCACTTGGGAAACTAACCATTTCTATATCAGGTTGTAAATACCCAAAACAATTTTGCTTATACCTACCAATTCGTGTACGATTAATCAACACGATATATGCAATCAGACTACCTAAACCAATAATAATAAAAATCTTTAATATAAGGTATCCTGTTGATGAATCTGGATTGGTTAGAATAGTCTCACATTTGACACCAGTTGTACCAGGAGAACAGATACATTCAAATCTGTAATTATTAAATCATAATAAATTATGTAACAAAACAAATATTTCAGATATGTTAATGTTTTGTGTAATAAACTTGATCCATATTTTTTAAAATTTTCGAAATCATAAAAATTAGTTCTTTAGTTAAAACTTGGACATTTAACGAACACTAATTATTTTAGCAAATTATAATTATACAATTAATCTGTACTTAAATCTACTAATCGTTATTAGAAAATAAAAATAAAAAATATATGATATTATTGGGCAGAGGAGTTAGGAATTTATCAGAACAGCCAATAAAATAATAATGTAAAAATATACTAAAAAATATTATTTAAATAATCAGCCAAACTGCCAATATACTTGTATAATTCACATTAATTGTGTAATTTATAAGTTAAATTATTATCATTGTTTAAATCAGACAAACAATTAAAAACCTGGAAAAAGATTTAAAATTTTAAAATAATACATTGCACCTTAATTTCATTAATTCACTTCAATTGTAAATGTGTATTAATAAAATATCAAAAATATCCTTTTTTTTTTTAAAAAAAAAAGTTCAATAAATTGCTTAGTTTGAATACAAAAGTGTAAGTACAACATATGATTATTTAATAAGTTTAGTAAAAATATACCGTAAACTTGTTTTACAGGAAATTCAATATTAATACAACCTTCACTTACTTATTATTGTCAGTTCTAAGCGTATAATTCAACTCTTGTTGAAATTGCATTGATACATTTATTTTATTTGAATGATAATTAAACACTGGATCATAACGTTCAACACAAATGCTCCCATATTGACAAGGATTACTTGCACATTCATTTAAATAAATATCACAATTTTTTCCTGTTAAAGATATCGTTAAAAATAAATATATTTATTATAATTAATAAACAATTTACTATTACCTGCATAACCAATTGAACAACTGCAAGAATAACCTTTAGTCTCATCGATACAAGTACCATTATTTTTGCATGGGTTATATAAACAATCGTTGATATTTATTTCACAATGATTCCCTGAATTAATAAATTAAATATATAATCACATAATTATATTCACTTATTTAAATTTTAAATTAATTACACAATATACCTTCAAATCCTGTATCTGTGCAGTCACATTCATAACTCTGAATTCCATCGATACATAATCCCATATTTTTACATGAAGAAGACTATAATATCATAACATATATTAATTTAAAAAAAAAAATTTAATTTAAAATTATTAATTATAATATATACTAACAGTGCAGTCATTTATATTTATGTCGCAGAGCTTTCCGCCAAAACCATACCGACATGAACATATAAATGACTCCATTTCTCTAATACATGTAGCACCATTCAAACAAGGATTCAAAATGCATTTATCCACATTAATATGACATTGTTTTCCAGAATATCCATCAGGGCAAATGCAATTATATCCATTAATTTTATCCTCACATGTTGCACCATTAAGACAAGGCAAAGACAAACATTCGTTTAAGTTGAGATCACAATTGTCACCAGAATACCCAGGTTGACAGTAACACTGATAGGTTCCATTTTTATTAATACAAAGTCCATTATGGCATATATCTTTGCTAACTTCACACTCATTTATGTCTTGATCACAAAGCGTACCTTCAAACCCAAATGCACAAAGGCAAGTAAAACCATCATGATTATCTACACAAGTGGAATTATTTTTACAAGGACTTTTTTGACAGTAATTTGTTAATTTTGAACAAAAGTCTTCGGTATATTCTTCAGGGCATTGGCACTTATAAGTGGTAATACCATCAACACAAACTTTTACAGTTGGACATTTGGTCGTTGAACAATCATTAGTATTTACCTTACAATTTTTATCTTGAGGACATATACAATAGTAATCATTTAGTGATGAAGTTGGTTCAAGACAAGTATCATTACTTAAACAAGAGTTAGGATTTTTAGCACATGCACCCAATGGTGTTTGGCAGAGAATTCCAGTATAATTGTTGTTGCAATTACATTTAAAACCATTAATAAGATCATGACAAGTACCACCATTTAAACATGGATTGGAAATGCATTCATCAATATCTATTTCACATGATTGACCAATAAAACCAGGGGGGCAGTCGCAAATATGGTCAGTTTTTCCAATTAATGAAGTGCAAGTTCCACCGTTAATACAAGTGTTTAATCCACATAC